GACGCCGACGACGACGTGCTAAAACCGCACGTGCTCAAACTGTAGTTGTTCAGAGGGCCGAGGACCACAAGGACGACCAAGACGGCGACGGCGATACTGACGACGACAACGTCGACGGCGACGCCGAGGTCGAGGCCGACGCCGAAGCCGACGGAAGATGACGTCGATGACGACGACGACGACGTCCACATTCCACCATCCACCACGCCACGCCCACAGGGCCACGACCACAGGGGGCCGCGGGCGATCCCATTCGCGAGGCTTCCGCGAGGCGATCCCATACGCGCCCACCGCGGGGGGGATCAGCGGGGGGACGGGGGCTGATCCTACTATCACTGGAGTGGGCGGAGCCCTGGATCATATACGATACAGGACTCCTTGCCCCCCCCTCCAATGCTAATGGGATGCCCCCCCCCCGTTGGATGGGTACCCCACCCTGTGGTCGTGGCTCTGTGTGCGTGGCGCCGTCGCCGTCGCCGTCGCCGTCGCCTTCGTTGTCGTTGTCGTCGTCGTCGACGCCCCTTCCATCCCATCAGGGGGTTGGGAGGGCCTGTGAACTCTTGTGACCCGTCCCATCTAGGGGGGCTGTGAACCCTCGACCTTGCATCATGTGTTCCCCGCCCAGGTGGGTATGTCGGCTACTGGGGCCCAGGCCACCCCATGGGGGGATAGGGATCGATCAGACGCTGCTCAGCTCCGAAGCCCTGTGCAATGCAGGCGGGTGGCGTAACACACGGCGCCTGCCCCAACTTGCCCGAGCTGCCCCACGTGGCAGCCTGCGGCGTGCCGTCCGCCTCGTCGCTCCCGCTGCGGCCGTTCGCGCTGCGGCCGTCCGTGGGGACCTGGCTGGCGCCGCGGCCGACGCGGGCTCCTCGCGCCGCCGCGTGCTGCGGGGCGCGCGCCGCCGCGGGCGCCGTCCTGTTCGGCGAGGTCCAGGGCACTGCAGTGAACGGGCCCTCGCCGGCCCACGAGGAGCAGGCCGGAGGAGGAGGAGGAGGAGGAGGAGGAGGAGGAGGAGGAGGAGGAGGAGGAGGAGGAGGAGGAGGAGGAGGAGGACCAGTGTAAACCCGAGACTCATCTACGATGTTGGGATACACGCTCCCTCGAAGATCCCTCTTCACAGGCCCCATACAATATTCATTTCCACTGAGGGAAGTGCCCCGTTTGGAGACAGCCGTGCAAAAATCATGAGACGTGCCTAAACACGATCTCAGGACTTCAGCGACGCCACGAGTCAACTTGACTGTTGCGTCTTGACGATCCTAATCCATGCCAGAACACCATTTCTGGGAATTCAACACGCGAATCAACGTAACCGTTGCGCCATGACAATCCTGAGTCGTTCGGATACACCATTTCTGAAAGGTTAGACATGAGAATCCGCGAAACTATTGGCATTGTGTTCGACGAGTGCGCGCGGCGATAAGGCGAGATCCATATTTTGAAAAGGAGCCGCGCTCAATCCGTGGAGCTCCTCCAACATTTCAAAACGAATGCGCGCGGCGCTAAGGCGAGACCCACATGTTGAAAGCCACTCGCTCTCAATGTGCGCGGCGCTGAGACGAGATCCACATTTTGGAAGCGACCCGTTCTCCGTCCGTGAAGCTCTTGTACATGTTGAAGACGACTGTGCGCGGAGCCCAGGCGAGAGCCACATTTTGACACGACCCGCCTTCAATCCGTGAAACACTTTCGTTTCCAAGACGAATGTGGGTGGCGCTTAGGCGAGAGCCGCCTTCTGAAAACGACCCGCCCTGAATCCCTAAAATCCTTGCACATGTTGAAGACGAGCGTGCGCGGCGAGAGCCACAATTTTGGGAGTGCCCCGCCCTCCATCTGTGAAGCTGTTGCCAGTTTGTGGGCTTCAGGCTCATAAGTGGTAAAGAACTCTCAGGCGAAACGCCTGGCCTGCCCTTCCGACCGCTCTGGGGGGTGCGACAGGGAGGGGTGGTTCATGAGGAAAAGGGACGGAGGAGGAGGAGGAGGAGGAGGGGAGGAGGAGGAGGAGGAGGAGGAGGAGAGGAGGAGGAGGAGGAGGAGGAGGAAGGAGGAGGAGAGGAGGAGGAGGAGGAGAGGAGGAGGAGGAGGGAGGAGGAGGCGGAGGAGGCGGAGGAGGAGGAGGAGGAGGAGGAGGGAGGAGGAGGAGAGTGAGGAGGAGGCGGAGGAGGAGGAGGAGGCGGAGGAGGAGGAGGAGGAGGAGGAGAAGGAGGAGAAGCTCCTTGGGACCCCGTATTTAACATGCAGACGCTGGAGGTCTGGCAGGGCAGCTCGGCGGGCCTCGCAGGTCCGGGACGGCCGAGCGCGCGAGCCGGGCCGCAGCCGCGGGCGGCCTCCTCCTCCTCCTCCTCCTCCTCCCTTTCCTCCTCCTCCTCCTCCTGCCTGCTCCTCCTCCTCCTCTTCGAGGGGGCGGGCTCGGACTTGGCGAGCGAGCACCTCTGCCACTACGTCGGCGGGCTCGGGGCCGACATGGTCGAGGGCGAGGAGGCTCAGCGTCGTCCGACCCAGCCTCATCCCCGCTTGGCCATGGCATCGCAGCCCCGCCACCCAGGTAGCTCGCGTCTTGAACAGATCACGATGGGAGGTTTTTGGTGCCGTTTTCGGCGTCTGGGGTCCGTCGTCGGGCCCGGGGACCGTCCCGGCAACAACTTGATTCGGGATGTAAAACTGCCCTGGGGAAAAGGTCGGGACTTCTGGGCCCCCCGCATCGAAAACTCAGGACACCGTATGCCTGGGCAGCCCACTCTTCCGGGGGTAGGTCCCGCGAAACCCGAAGGCAACAGGCATGCATCCCCACCCGTGTGGTCAATTCTTCCAGTGGGGCCATGGTCACGCCAGTGGGGATCGGGATCGGTTAAGCAGTGCTCAAAGGCTGTCAGGTGCGTCGAGGGCGTGGGCACCGATGGAGACTCCACGGGCGCGGGCAGCTCGTTCGCGGCGAGCTCGACGTCGGAGCATCCTCCCGCCAACTCCCCGGAGGTGGGCAGGTACGTGCCGTTGGCCGAGATCGGCAGAGGTCGGGCTGTGCCAAGGGGGGTCACCACTATAGGGGGCTCGTTTTTCTTGCGCAGGCCGCTGGGCGAGCTTGGCACCCGTGGCGCCAGGATCGGTCCACGCACTCGCCGACCGAGCCAGTGCACAGCTCGGAGAGCATGGATGGGATGGTGGACGCCTCCCCAAACCTTCTCAATCTCAACCCTTCCAACACCACCTCCTTCGCCTCCAGTGCAGCCTCCTCCTCCACCTCCAACACCATCCTGCACCTGCTCCTGGAGCCCCTATTTTCCGAGGCAATGGCGTTTCCTCGAAGAAATTGCGACCCTCCTAGTGGTGACCCCCCTTTGCATTGCCCCAAGAGGGGTCTACGGCACTGTCCTGGCCGCGAGGCTCAACGAAGCAACAATTCCATAATCATAAATGCTCGGAGCTCCTTGCGGATTTCTTGGATCTGCGCCGGGCCCCCCTGATTAGGCGGCGCCTCCGGCGACGCGCATGGCGCGCGCTCCGCGCGCCAGGGAGGGGGGTCCAGCGCGGGTCTAAGGAATCCGCGCGGGCCCCCGAAAGCTCATGGGTGTGCAGCCTTTCCTTCCAGAGGGACAGCGAGACCAACGAGACGGTGGCGCTCAAGCGGATCACGGTGGACGACGACCAGGCCGACGGGGTGCCCGCGCACATCATCCGCGAGGTGTCCTTGCTGCGTGATTTCTCCCACCGCAACGTCGTGCAGCTCAGGGACGTCCAGGCCGTGGGCATCAGGGAGTTCCAGCTGGTCTTCGAGTACGTCCCTGGCGAGCTCCACCAGATGCTGAAGGGCCACCGCCGAGCCGGCACCCAGCTGCCGATGGCGCGCGTCCTCCAGTACTCGCAGGACCTCCTCCGCGGAATCCACGCGTGCCACGCGCGCCTCATCATGCACCGCGACCTCAAGCCGCAGAACGTCCTCGTCCACCCCGCCGACGGCCTCAAGATCTGCGACTTCGGCCTCGCGCGCGCCTTCTCGCGGCCCGTCAGGGCGTACACCCCGGAGGTCGTCACCCTGTGGTACCGCGGCCCGGAGCTGCTGCTCGGGCGCGCCCCGTACGGCCCCGAGCTGGACCTCTGGTCCGCCGGGTGCATTCTCGCCGAGATGGCCACCAGCCGCCCGACATTTCCCGGGGACTCGGAGATCGGTACGGCCTTCAAGATCATGCAGCTGCTGGGCTCCCCCACGGAGGCGACCTGGCCGGGCTTCGGCCAGGCCCTCGCGCACTGGAGCCCGCGCCTCCCGAGGTGGCCGCCCGGCGACCTCGCGCCGATCCGCGACCTGCGCCCCGAGCTCGGCGAGGCCGGGCTGGGCCTGATCCGCTCCCTGCTGGTCATGAACCCCGCTGCCCGCCTCACCGCCCGCAGGGCGCGGGGCCACGCCTTTCTGCGGCAGCAGGGCGCCGTGGCCTCCAGCGAGGGGCGCCCGAGCTCGGCAGGGCCAGGCAGGGCCTGACCCCGTTTCACAGGGGTGCGCGCCCGAGAGCTGGCGCACCCAGAAGACCGGCACCGCCGCCGAGGCCGCGTGCGCGGTGCCCAGGAGTTGCGCGCCCAGAGACCACGGCCTGCGGCTCCACGACCGTGGAGATCCCCGCGGGGCGGCGGAGCGGCGGAAAGTCCACTCTCTCAAACGTCCAGCAGCTCGGTGGCACGCGTGCCCCGTGGCCCCCCCTGGCCGCGCCCGCCCCCCCCCCCCCCGCCCGCCCCTCCGCCCGCGGGGCGCGGCCGCGGCGGGAGGGCGCCTTCGGCCGCCGCTGGGGGAGCGGCGACTGCCTCCTCCTCGAGGATCGAGGGAGCGTGAGGCTCGAGCACGTCGGAACTCGGCTTTGCCGAGGCTTTTCGACCGGCGCGTCCTGGATTTGGACGGTCCGCTCTCGCATGCCTCACAGATCAGAGACTGGTGCCACTGCGGCATCGGGGAAGCGTAAGGCTCGAGTACGTCGGAACTCGGGTTTGCCGAAGCTTTTCGACCGGCGCGTCCTGGATTTGGACGGTCCGCTCTCGCATGCCTCACAGAGCAGAGGCTGGTGCCACTGCGGCCTCTCGGCGCGAAGCTGGAGCCTTCGGGGTGGGCCAGCGCTTGCTTGACAGAAGCATGAGCTGACAGCGCGACGTGGAGAGCGGTTGTGGGACCGCCTCATACGTTCTTTTGATTTTGCTAGTGTATCTTGGGTCAGAGAGGAGAGGAGACTGAGAAGGAAGGAAGGAAGGAAGGGCGTCGACCTGTAGGGTGGCACTGCCCGCTGCCACCGTGGCGCCCTGATCAGATGCCGCGGGGCAGTTTTCGCCACCGTGAAAGAAAGAAACGGCCTCCATAATTTTTCGGGCACATGGCAGACAGCGCAGACAGGTCATATTTCTAGCAGCCGCGTGTGCTTTCCTGCTGGTCCCCTCTGCCCGCTGCCACTGCTGCCATCTCAAAGCTCGTGGTCACTTCGCCATCGAGCTCCCGCTCGCTCCCCCTGCCTCATTTCGCTCCTCTTCTCCGTTCCTCCATCCCCTTTTCTTTCAGTTCCTTTCAGTGAATTCGAGCTTGCCGCCTGGGTGGTATCACGCGGAGCACACCAGGCGGCGTGCACGTTGAGAGCATTGTCTCGGATGCGGCGGCCTCGCATGCTCTGAGGCATGCCAGAAACCATTCTCAGAAATTCGGTTGGTATCTGGAGGAAGCTTGAGAGGTGTCTCGAGCACGCCCGGCGGCATACGAAGGTTGCGTCTAGCATTGCCACCGCTTCCTGCAGCAGCAGCATGAGGAGTGGCACGTGGGTCCTGCGGCACGGCAACCGCGTCCCAGCATGTGCGTCTGCTCTTCCATGCGTCTCCATCTACATTTCCATATCTTGGGAGAGCCAAGAGGTACCGACACCGCTACTCGGGCCCTCTCCCAGGGTGCCTTCTGACCAGACATTCGAGGCGAAGCAGCCGTGGCGACGAGGGCCTCCCAGGAGGTGCGACACGGCAAAAACGAGGGAAGCGCAGCAGTATCGGTACTTTTTCTTCCTCAGACTGCCTCCTTCTCCTCATCCTTCGCCCGTTTTCGGGACGACCGAATTCGGTACGGAAAGAATGGGTACAAAGGCCGACAGCATTCCCTGATCATCTTGAACAGGACACGCTGTTGGTGTCGCCGAGGACGGTGGCCTGGTGAGAGAGAAGGCCGCCTGCCCGACAGCTGCTGTTGGCTTTGGATTACAAGTGTTATTGGGCATGGCGCCCATTTTTGTCCGCAACCCTTTCGGGCGTCCACATGTTCGCTGTGGGGACAAGTACCTGGCGGCACGTCAAGATGCCTCTTGAGATCGGATCGAATCTGGTCCCTTTCCTAGAGGCTTCCCGTCGCTGGCACGCTGAGCACCCAGCCCTCTCACAACGTGGAGCGTAGGGCGACCGGCACGTGCGTGGATCGCACTGCTCGGCGTTTCGAGTGTTTCGAGTTACGTCGTCCCAGATGGACGACGGCGCTGCGCGCTCGCGAGGGCATCTGTGATTGGTTGTTTATTTTCCAGGACCTACGTCCATTCACCTAACCTGGTGTGCTTCACTCCCCTGCGGGGGATACGTGGTTTGTCATTCTGTACTGCTGCCCGTGCTGAGACGCCACTGCACGGGCCGGAATCCGCAGAGGGCGTCTATACACATTGTGCTTGGCCATGGCAGTCCCGGGCACCAGGATGGTGTACAGACCCCCTTTGAACCCCTTTGGCCTCGGCCAGAAGGGCCTCCTCCTCCTCCTCCTCCTCCTCCTCCTCCTCCTCCTCCTCCTCCTCTTCCTCCCCCTCCTCCTCCTCCTCCTCCTCCTCCTCGCCCTCCGTGTGCACCGTGGCATGGCTTAACAAGACCCTTGCCGGGCATGGTGGTGGTGTACGGATGCTATTGCGGGTGGAAGGCTGCGGCAGGGCTGAACCTAAACTGTGTTTTTCGTTTTCCCTCGTTTTGTCTTTAATCCGCCTTTGCCGCACAACGAAATCGAAACGAAAACGGCCCACGAAATCGCCAAAACACCGTTTAGGTCCAGCCCTGGGCTGCGGATTGGAGGATTGGGTGTTGCAGGTTGACAGGGGAAGGACAGGAGGGAGGAGAGAGTATGGCAGACAGACCCGTAACCAGAGATCAACAGTTGGTGGACGATCACACCTCTCCTGTCCGCAGCCTGTTGCGTTCCAAGCTGGCCCACCACGCCTACTCTTGTGTGCATGCAAGGGGATTCCAGGGCTGCGGCCTCGAGCTTGGAACTGGCATTGGCTCCCCGCATGGTCGGAGCCTGCGTACGCAGGCAGCCGCCGTTCGTTGTTTTTTTTATCATGCCGTGCACGCAGCCTGGCAGGCGCCCCACGACGTACCGCGGCAAGCGGATGGGTACGAGGAGCTCGGAGGACAAGCGTGCTGCTGCTGATATTGAGGAACAAATCTTGATTTGGATACTCATTGTGATGATGATGCTGGGTATGCTGCTACTGTGGCTGATGATGATGATGCTGCTGATGATGATGACGATTACGATGTTGATGACGATGATGATAATGATGCTGCTGCTGATGATGATGATGATGATGAGGATGCTGATGATGAGGATGATGATGAGGATGATTGTGATGCTGATGATGATGAGGATGATGCGGGTGATGATGATAATGCTGATGAGTATGATGATGAGGATGAGGATGAGGATGATGAGTATGATGCTGCTGAGGATGCTGATGCGGATTGCGATGATGATGTAGATGCTGATGACGATGATGATGGGGAGGAGGAAGAGGAGGATGCTGATGCTGCCGCTTACGTTGCGAAGCCATTGTTTATGATGATGACGGGGACGATGGTGGCGATGGTGGTGATGATGATGCTAGCGATGATGGTGGTGGTGGTGGTGATGGTGGTGGTGGTGATGATGCTTACGACGCTGACGATGCTGACGATGCTGATTATGCTGATGATGATGATGCTGATGATGATGATGATGATGATGATGATGCTGATGCTGATGCTGATGATGATGATGGGTGGTGGTGATGCTGCTGCTGCTGCTGCTGCTGATGATGATGATGATGATGATGATGATGATGGGTGATGATGATGATGAGGATGATGATGATGACGATGGTGGTGATTATGATGGTGCTGCTGCTGTGGTGCTGATGCTGTTGATGCTGATGCTGCTGATGATGCTGATGCTGATGCTGATGCTGATGCTGATGCTGATGCTGATGATGCTGATGATGATGCTGATGATGCTGCTGATGATGATGATGATGATGATGGTGATGATGATGCAGATGATGCTGGCGACGACGACGACGACGGTTGAGCAAGATAAGGGCCAGGATACGAGGATGAGGACGAGAAAGGAGGAACTAGGAGGACGAGACGGGTGGAGTAGGATGAACAGTCGGACGCCTCTCGTTGCGCCGCAGCCGGCAGGCGGCTTGCTAGGAGCCTCGACGGATTTATGCGTATGTCTGCCTCTCTCTCTCTCTCTTTCTCTTTTTTTTGTCTCCTCCTCTTCCTCCTCCTCCTTCTCCTCCTCCTCCCCCTCCTCCTCCTTCTCCTCCTCCTCCTCCTCCTTCTCCTCCTCCTCCTCTGCTCCTCCTGCGCCTCCTCCTCCTCCTCCTCCTCCTCCTCCTCCTCCTCCCCCTCCTCCTCCTCCTCCTTCTCCTCCTCCTCCTCCTCCTCCTACTCCTCCTCCTCCTCCTCCTCCTCCTCCTCAAGCCACTTCGGCCCTGGCCCCCCCTTTTCCCAGGGCTGCCCCAGTACCTCCGCGAGGTGCTTGAGGGACTTCCGTGCACCCGCTCTCTTGCAGGTTTTACGGTCGACCAAAGCTGGGGCTCATGGTTCACACCCGCGCGCCGCCGCGCGGCTCCAGCCAGGCTGCTCGCGGCGCTGCTGCCTGGCATCCTTCCCCGCGCCTCTGGACGCGCTGCCGCGGCTGCAACACGTGCGAGTACAACGATCGCCTCGACCCGCAGGCCCCCACATGCCCGCGGTGCAATCGGCCCATGCGCATGCATCGCGGCCGTTCCCGTTTGCCAAGCCAGGTGAGGTTCGGGCCCGAGGAGATCATCGACCCTGATGTGCCGCCGCCTGCCGCCCCCCGCGACCAGACGGCGACGCCGCGTGCTGACAACGGCACCCTCGCCAACCACCTTCGCCAGGCACTCGCGGCTGCCACCGACCCCGCCCTGCAGGCCATCCTCGCTGCTCAGGTGCAGCGCCTCGACGCCCAGGAGGCCGAGCCCCAGGTCAGCGAGGTCGAGGCCATGCGGAAGGCAGATGGTGCGTGGCGCAGCGCAGTCAACCACCACAATCAGGTCGTGGCCAACGTCGTGCGGCTCCGCAGGGCCCTGTCCATGGCAGAGGCCAAGGAGGCCGAGGCCGCCCTCGAGGTCGCCAAGACGGAGGCCGCCAAACGCAAGGCTGCCCAGGCTCTGGCACGCGCTGAAGGAGTCGGACACCCAGATGGCGCCAGTGACTCCGCCAGCAAGCCCGACCACCCACCTGAGGCTCCCTTCGCAGTCACGTGGGACCCCACGCTCTTCCAGCAGATCGAGGATCTTGATTTCACCGAGACAGAACAGCAGGAGCTCAACGCCGTCAAGAAGGGGCTTGAGGAGCTCAAGATGCAGTTCGCCACCAAGGGCCCCCAGGTGCAGGAGCTCATCAGCCGCGCCACAGCCGTTCGGCAGGCGCGCGAGGCGCGCTACCAGAAGAAGCGCAAAGGAGATGACGGCCAAGCCAGCGCCCCTGCGGCTACTAGCACCGCCACGCCTGCCGCAGCCCCGCCCGCCGGCGGCCACCCTGGCGCAGGACCGCCCCCCAGCTCGGGCGAGGCCGCTGACGCTGGTGCTGAGCCGCCACCCGCAGCCGCCCAGGCGCAGCAGCAGGAGGAAGAGGCTGCGCTGGCTGCCGAGGCCGCTCGCCTGTCCGCCGCCAAGTTCGCTGCCCACGCCGCCATGAACAAGGACAGCGCCCCCGAGACGGCCGCCCCGACGGCTGGCAAGGGCAGGGGCCGCGCCACCGCCACCAAGCGATCCACTTCGCATTGACTAGGCGGAGGTGACCCCAGCATCACGGGGGAAGGTGATGCCATCTCTTCTACCAGTACTAGTAGTTTCTTCTTCAGCAATGTCACTTGCTTCGGCGAAAAAGTCCACGAGTGGATCCAGGCCAGCAGTGATGACTACATCGGATTGGTTCAGACCCACGCCAATGCAGCCAGTGTGTCACAGTGGCAGGGGAGGCTCAGGTCCATCAATCGCAGGCTCTTCGCTAACGTTGCTCGACCTACATCGCGTTCTGACTCTGAAGGGTGGACAGTTGATTCCCATCTCGAGGCTGAATCTATGTCCGCAGTTTCACACGCGAATGAAGGTGGAGAGTGGTTTCTTCCTAGAGGGCATCTCCATGCCCACCCTCTTCTCGAGGCGGTCCAGTCCAAGGACCTTCAGTCTTTCCCTCGCCCCTCCCTCGATGGCTTCCTGCCCATTGTCCTCCATCTCCGTGGTTATTCCATCGTAGCAGTTCTGTTCTACGGGTTCAGCAGTGTCGGCATGAGAGGATCCAATTTAACCCGTTTTAGGAAGTTAGGGAGCCTCCTCCGCTCTCTCCAGCTTCCTTGGTTCGTCCTCGCCGATTGGAACCTCAGCCCTTCTGCGCTCACCCAGTCGGGGTTCCTAGCACAGGTCCAAGGAGAGATCATGTGCGCCCCTGTCGAACACACGTGCGACCCAGGAGGAGGACGTAAGCCATCGCATTTGGACTTTCTTGTTCACAGCGCTGCTGCCCGCCCTTACCTGGTCAGCCTCTCGCCTGTGCTAGATGTTCCGTGGAAGCCCCACATAGGATTACGTCTTCAGCTCGTCCAGTCTGGCGGGCAATTGCTCACTCGTATACTTCAGCTCCCGAGGCGCCTGCCACGCGTCGCTCGCCCTCGCAAGGCTGCCACCGCTGGGTCTAAGGCTAGCCGTGCCAGAGCCCAGCGAGCAGCCCGCATGGAGAAGGCAACTGAGAGAAAACAGTCTCTCCATGCCACTCTCTTTGCCGATTTACGGACCAGCGAAGGCCGAGACGCCGACGCCGAGTCCACCAGTGCTGGCGATAGCCCCACATCCGAGGGCGACGAGATCGACCCAGCCCAGCTTTCCGAAGAGGAAGACCCGTGGGCGCACGAGACAAGTTTCTGGCCAGCCGTGTCGTCTGCTGTTTCGAACCCCGCCCGCGAGGAGACAAAACAGTGCTCGCTCGGCGCGTCAGCTTCGCCCCTCTCCGCTGCCTCCGCCCATCCTGCTTCCGTTGCTCCATCAGTTGATTCAGTCCAACAGTCAGTGTCTTTTTCACCAGTCCAGCGCGAGAACCCCCCTGACGTGCCTGTCGTACCCGAGGAGACCATGCCAGACAGTTTTCCCAAAGCCACGAACTTTCCCCAACAAGGTCTTAATGGCCCATGCCCAGGATCTGGGGAGTTTAGTTCTACCGCTGTGGATTTCGAAATCCCTAGTTTGCTCTGGAGCGTCCATCGGGAACAAATCAGCGCCCTGCCAGCCAGCTGCACGCTGCCTGCCCCGGCGGCTGCTGCTTCAGTAGCTTTTCGGCTCAAGCCTGATTCGACCCTTCAGCTTGGGCAGACATACGGCTCTTGGGCCGCGACAGCCGAGGCCACCTTCCACACGCATCACCAGATTCCTTTCGCTGGCGCCAGCCGCGCCACAGGACCCAGTTACCAAGTCACTGTTGTTCGCGAGCTGCAGTGCAAGAGGAGTGCGCCTCTCGCCGACTTCTCGAGTAACTGGTGGACACGGGTACACACACTACTTCAGAATACGTACAGACACCGAGCTCGCAACAACGGCCCTCTGCAGCTCCAGCAGCTGCATCGGGACCTACGGCGCCTCGCTGACACGCCACCTTCTGCTGCAGCCAGCGTCGTCACACCCAAAGACGACCGCGCCTGGGAACAGTGGATCCTCTTCCTGCAGCAGATCGAGCTCGCCGGCGTTGACCACGTCGTTGCGCACGCAGCCAGGGCCAACCGCCTTGCCAAACGAGCTCAACAACGGGCGATCCGCAAGTCCGTCCGAGCATTCAGCGAGTGGGCAACCACACCAGGGTCCCTGGGAACACTTCATCGCTCCCTACGGCCCCAACCACAACCAGCAGAGGTAACACTGTCCGACGGCTGCACCATCATGCACCCCAAGGAGCTCATTGACCAGAAGATCCAGACTTGGACCGACCTGTGGGCCCCCCACGCCGTCGACTACCACAGCCTGGATGCTGCTTTCCAACGCATCGTCGACCGCATCCAGGAGTGTCCACTCCCCGCGCTCACCGCTGACGACCTCCGACGGGCCGCCTCCCGCCTCAAGGCCAACACGGCGCTCGGCGCCGACCGCCTACGACCTGGCGATTTCCAGCGGCTCCCTCAAGATGCACTCCAAGAACTAGCCGACCTACTTACCACATCGGAACGACTCCAAGCTTGGCCACGC